AGAAGGGGCCTCCTGCCCATCAAGGGTCGCCTACCAGAGGGGGCCTCCTGGCCTCTGCCCAGATAGTGCATCTTGTGCAGAATTATAGTAGGTTAGGCAGGAAAGTCAAGTGTAAAAGTACCCTAAGCGGTGCTCAGGGGGCCTCCTAATTATGACCGAGCGGGGGGGGGGGCCCGGGCCCCAAGGCCCCCCCCCTTGGGTGCGCCACTGTTGCATTGTCACGGAGTGAAGACGCGGCAGGAATGCATAAGGACGTAGGAGGGAGGAGAGCTTGACTGGGAAGAGAGAGAGAGAGAGAGAGAGAGAGAGAGAGAGAGAGAGAGAGAGAGAGAGAGAGAGAGAGAGAGAGAGAGAGGGACAGAGAGAGAGAGAGAGAGAGAGAGAGAGAGAGAGAGAGAGAGAGAGAGAGAGAGAGAGAGAGAGGGAGAGAGAGAGAGAGAGAGGAGAAAAGAGTGTCCGGATCGAGAGTTGGCACCCCTCAGCAGTGATACTGGTCCGGAGGGGGGCATCCATATGGTCCAGTTTATATTTGCCACACATCTGCCGCATCATATTGCAGCATATATGATAAAGACCCGATCCGGATCGGTACCTCTCGGTTGGCTTTCGGTTTGGCTACCGTCAGCACATGCTTTTCTAAAACATTTCAATTACATTAGGAATAGCGGACATTGCGTCAATAGAAGAATGTGTTCAAGCTTAAAATATTATGACGTTAGAAAACGCTTTCAAAAGGAGCGCTATATTTTAGAGGAAAAACTGCCGTTCAAGAAACTCAACGTGAGCAGCTCGACAACGCTGTATTGTGGGCAGAGTTGCGATACAGTTTCGTTGAAGCGGGACGACATGGCGGGACGACATTGCGTACACTACAACTGAGGCAGGTAATAGACATAAAACCAAGGCGACCCAGGGCAGAAGCCACACGTACAATTGCAGGCAGTTCACATACGGGTTATAACATAAGCACAGCAGAGCCATAACAACAGACAAATAACCACACATTAACCCGCGCCCTGCTGGGGGGGGGGTGTTTGAACACCCCCCCCTTGTGGTTTTTCGCGAATATCTCAAAAAACGGCGGCGCGGAGCGCCGCCGTTTTTGGTACACCTTATCATACATCAATTCTACACATGTTGTGAAAATTTCAGACCAAGGTCATTCAAGGTCAGGTCACCAGGTCACTTGAAGTGACCTCACCTCATAAAAACTTTCAATGTCTGTCATAGCTACACCGAGTGACCGATCGCTTTGAAACTTTCAGCGATTGCTAAGAGCAATAGCATGTACAAAATGTATATCTCAGAATTTTGATATCGATGACCTAAGGTCAGGTCAATTTTGCGACCTCCCCATTATAAGTCAATGGGAGAAAATTGAAATGTGCCTCTTTTGGATGAAAGACATTATAAACACTCCCAAACACCGAATTACAAGTGGTTTAGACACACTGAACTTGAAAATGGTGTCCGTGACCCTTGTTTCTACCCTGAGGTCATCTTAGGTCACGAATGGTATCTAACAGTTTTTCGCAAATAACTTTTGATAGAGGCATGCTAGAGCGATGAAAACTCCTTAGATGTGTTCAGCTCGACGATACGGATCGACTGATATGCAACATGACCCTTTCCGGTCAGGTCATGACCTTGACCTGAGGTCAAATTTTCAAGTTGACCTTTCAAGGTCAAGTTATAGTTCATTCGATGCGTCTTGACGAGAGGAACACGATGCCGGTAAAAGTAAGCTCGTACAAGGCTTGGGTCAAAAGTTATTGCAGAAAAACTGTTTTCGAAAAAATCGGTTATTTTTGCAGTTTTTGCCCCCTGCAGGCAAAACCGTTGACGTTAGGTCAAATCTGAGGGAATTACTCAGAAAGGGCGTTAATAGGGCTATCGAATGCGCTTTTCCGCGGCGCTGTAGCTCTATTGGTTCCCGAGTTATGCGTTGGCTTCTTGGAAATTTTCGACATTCGACCTGGAAATCGGCGAAATTTTGCCTTCAATGACCTCTGGTGACCTGACCTTTGACCTGACCAAAAAATTGACCGAAGTGATTTCGTCATTATTTTTTACGCTCTTTCGAACGCCGCCTTCCGCGTATCGCTACGTGGCCCAGGAGCCGAGTTACAAGGGGGGGGTGTTCAAACACCCCCCCCCCCCCCAGCAGGGCGTGGAAATCCAGGACCCCCAGCAGGGCGCGGGTTAACCCGCGCCCTGCTGGGGGGGGGTGTTTGAACACCCCCCTTGTGGTTTTTCGCGAATATCTCAAAAACGGCGGCGCGGAGCGCCGCCGTTTTTGGTACACCTTATCATACATCAATTCTACACATGTTGTGAAAATTTCAGACCAAGGTCATTCAAGGTCAGGTCACCAGGTCACTTGAAGTGACCTCACCTCATAAAAACTTTCAATGTCTGTCATAGCTACACCGAGTGACCGATCGCTTTGAAACTTTCAGCGATTGCTAAGAGCAATAGCATGTACAAAATGTATATCTCAGAATTTTGATATCGATGTCCTAAGGTCAGGTCAATTTTGCGACCTCCCCATTATAAGTCAATGGGAGAAAATTGAAATGCGCCTCTTTTGGATGAAAGACATTATACACACTCCCAAACACCGAATTACAAGTGGTTTAGACACACTGAACTTGAAAATGGTGTCCGTGACCCTTGTTTATGCCCTGAGGTCATCTTAGGTCACGAATGGTATCTAACAGTTTTTCGCAAATAACTTTTGATAGAGGCATGCTAGAGCGATGAAAACGCCTTAGATGTGTTCAGTTCGACGATACGGATCGACTGATATGCAACATGACCCTTTCCGGTCAGGTCATGACCTTGACCTGAGGTCAAATTTTCAAGTTGACCTTTCAAGGTCAAGTTATAGTTCATTCGATGCGTCTTGACGAGAGGAACACGATGCCGGTAAAAGTAAGCTCGTTCAAGGCTTGGGTCAAAAGTTATTGCAGAAAAACTGTTTTCGAAAATATCGGCTATTTTGGCAGTTTTTGCCCCCTGCAGGCAAAACCGTTGACCTTAGGTCAAATCTGAGAAAATTAGTCAGAAAGGGCGTTAATAGGGCTATCGAATGCGCTTTTCTGCGGCGCTGTAGCTCTATTGGTTCCCGAGTTATGCGTTGGCTTCTTGGAAATTTTCGACATTCGACCTGGAAATCAGCGAAATTTTGCCTTCAATGACCTCTGGTGACCTGACCTTTGACCTGACCAAAAAATTGACCGAAGTGATTTCGTCATTATTTTTTACGCTCTTTCGAACGCCGCCTTCCGCGTATCGCTACGTGGCCCAGGAGCCGAGTTACAAGGGGGGGGGGTGTTCAAACACCCCCCCCCCCCAGCAGGGCGTGGAAATCCAGGACCCCCAGCAGGGCGCGGGTTAAACGACTAGTCGCGAAAGATAGGTAAGCAATAAGCATAGACATTTCGGCAAAGCAATATTTAATAACGACACATTTCACCAACAGTGTTAACGCATAGCTCTACTGCCTAAACCATACTCAGTGCGGCCCATTGCAGTGCATTAAACATGAACAACAATGCAATGAGTATCCCGTCCGTATTTCAGACTAGATTCCATTGCACACAACCTAAGCATAAATCGCTCCATTTCAGGTCAGCACTGTGTTATACTAAGCACGACAATATTACGAATAGCTCAATGGGAAATAACAGTGTGTAAAATGTTACATTGCGACGCATGTAATCTCGCCAGCTTTAGCTCGAAAGGGGCACACTCAGTTATGCTTTCCTTATTGGCACACCTAGGTCATCAGTCAGCAACACATATTCATATATGGTTGTCCTACACTGAATGTTTCAGCGACGTACATTGAATAATGTCTAATGGACAATGCCCATGCGTCAGAACTAGAGTTGCAAAGTTTTCCCTATGGGCTGCTACCGGCACCGCCCCGCCCCACAAAAATTTTCTGGGATACCGGCATGCTACCACGCCCCAAGCAAAAACACCGCCAAATTACCGGCATACTAAAAAACCTGCATTCTTGATTCTGGCTTACCCCTACATGAGATGCCACATTTTGGCAATTTCAGTTACCGCCCCACCCAGCAGCCACCCATTGTCCAACCAAAACTCCAGCAGCCTGATTTTGGCTGAGTTGGCCCCACAAATACCACAATTTTGAAACTCAATTCCAGTTTACAGCTGTTAAAATATCAACTGTAATCAAAGAGGTATTGCCTACAAAAAGCCTACACACATTCATAAAAAAACAAGGTCAAAAAGAACTTGAATTACTGAAATGTGTTCCTGAAGACTGCACAGTGAGCAGCAATCACATTTACCACAAGCGTTCTTATTTTCCACATTACCCTAAAATGAACTATAGCTAGTCATAAATCACAATATAAAAAAACTACAGATTTGGCCATGTTCCTAACTGAGGAAGCGAGATCAACATCTGCTTTTTCCTATCCGCCATGGCTTGTTGGCTCGTGAGTAAGATACGAATCATGTAAAAATATGTGTTAATAACTCACTTATCCTGAGAAGTCACCAAATAATATGTATAAAAACGATATGATATCCTCTCCCATCTCAAACGCGGGAACAAACACAAGGTTATAAAGGATCGAAACAGATGCGCCATAACAGTTTTTAACCAGCTGATTAAAACACTGCAAAAAAAAGTTTTAGGACTGCAAACCACTGCCTCGTGAATGATTTTTTTTGATAAAAATCATCAAACACGATATCAAAATCCAATGAAATCAACACTGTGAGTGTTATTCACTGCAAGAAGATCCACTTCTCTTGAGTAATTCAACCAAAAGGGCATATGAATAAATATTACGTCATCAGCTTACATCCTTTTTTTTGGGGGACAGAGGATCTTAAAAGTCAATCCTTGGCTGCTTGATCAGCTGATCATATTGCGCCACTTTGTATTCATTTGGTCTGCATGTTGTGTTTTCTTGTAAAGATAAGACAAAATGCCAGTTTAATTCATTTTCATTTCATTTTGGGACCGAAGTTAGGCTCAGGGCTTCCTAACACCTGCCTTTTCAGCTGGATTTTCAGTGTCAAACTCTTTGTAGAGTATCTCAGACCACATCTCGGGACTCAAGGCCAGTTGCCAAACAATGTGTTTTGTGTTGTTTTGATTCTGCCTTTTGCCTAGGGAATGTTGCCATTAACATTAATTTATTTTATTGTATTATACCTATTACCTACCATTAGACTTACTAATTGGTTGTGCTTTTGCAACATGTATGAATATTCTTCCTTTGATAGACCACAGTAGATTCTTGACAATTCTTATTAGAGCCAAACCTGTGAAATGCTGAGGTTCATGTGTACAATTACCCTTAGCAATGGAACTTCTACCACAAAATGTATTTTGCAGTGGCTAAGATTGCTGTTATTACAATTCAATAGCCTCTTAGTGTCCAAAGTTTGAATCATATGCTGATATTTTTTTTGTGCAAAATCAAAAATACCGGCATGCTACCGGCAGGATATGCCAAATACCACGAAAAAACCTGCGGTAGTGAAAAATTACCGGCATGCCGGTAGTGCGGTAGGGAAATTTTGCAACTCTAGTCAGAACTCTGTCTTCCTGTAATTTAAACCATTGTCACCCAATCTCAGGTATGTGATGACTATCAATGACGAATGGTAATCAATGTTATGATAGATAGCCGTAATAGCTGTAAGCTCTACCAAACAAACGAGCCAGCCTGTGCTGAAGGAGCTCCGGCAATTGTGCAGTCCGAATGAACAAACACCAGCATAAGGCTGAAGACGGCGCAATCACAGTGCAGCAGACGAGTCCACGACAGCTCGTTAAAACGGAGTACTAAGAGCCCCGACATCATTCACATGACGCTGCCCGTATGAACACCCAACACCGATGTTCACTGTGGGTGAACGTTGGACGATAATTGTGACAAATGAAGGCTATGACAAAGGCAGAATGGGGATCAACAGAACAAGGCGCTATCACGGTAAACATCGAGCTATGATTCTAATCAACTTTTTCCTCGCGAAGTTACCAAACCGTAAATATTTCTAGAGGGACTAACGTGCTCATGACTAAACTGATGTAACAAATTAAAAACAGCACCATAAAAACACCCGTACTATTTAAAAAACGTTATTAAGTTCACTCGCGTTACGCACAACCCAAAAGGCACTGAATCTAGGCATCAATTGACATCTTCCTTTTGGCACAGAAGTTGTACGTATACATGCCACAAACGTCCATACAAAAATTAGCTACACTTCAGTGTCATATTTCGAAAGCTTTGACACTTTGTTGCCACTTTGATGACAGCATAAATTCATTTCATTGCTGTTTTGCCGACACTAAGCGTCTATGTGCGACACTAAGCGTTTATGTGCCAGACTCAGTATGTGGCAGTTAGGCCAACCCTTCTGCCATCGCGTCTCCTTGCAGTTACTCTGCTGTAGTTCCTCGTTGGTGATAACGTCACATCACCAGTGGTGACGCCCCCATGCTGGTGATGTTGGTGCAGGGGAACCGCAGCAGCTCGCCGCCCTGCGCTGTGATTGGCTGCATCGTGTGGTGACGTAACAACTCGTCTGAAACATGGACCGTGATTGGAGGACATAAACAACTTGTCTCAAACATGGACCGTACGCATACATGGAGTGAAACACGGAATACTGAAACATGAAGGACGACATCAATAAAAGTATTCGGAGCATTTTATTGCTCCAATCAATGGATTTCCTAAAAAACCAAGAAAGCAATATCTGTTGTTATTTCTAATGACAATGGCAGTATTCCTGCATGAGATTACCACTTCAATAAATTACCATGGCTCATGATCAAATTAGGTGATCATGTTGTGCAGCATAAGTTATCCCTCGCCGGACCTATTGGTTTTCTACATACGCGCCGGCCGAGGGGGGGGGGGGGGCGGGTACGACCCCCCTCGCCGTTTCGCCCCTGGTGGAGCTAGCGCGTCGCGGAAAAAACGAGCGTGTGCGCCGTTACGAGACGCAGAGATTGGTACCCGATTTTTAAGGTCCTTGGTCAACCGGTGACCTCTGAGGTCAGGTCAAGTGCCCCAGGGTACGGTTCAGTTTTTGGTGAATAACTTCGCAAAAAACGGCCGCAGAGCCGCGATTTTGGCAGCATCGTGTTCGCCTCGCTCAGGCGCGTCGAATGATATACTTTTTGTTCGGGTCAGGTCAACTTGGGGTGTTGACCTCAGGTCAAGGTCAGGTCAGCACCTTAAGGTCACGAAGTTGGTCGAAAGAGGTCATGTCGCATATCATTCGATTCGGCACGTCTTCCTGAGTCCATTGGTGGCTTCCCCGACTCGCTAGCTCAATTTGATCAAGAGTTATTGACGAAAAACTAATATGACCTTGATGACGTCATAAATGACGTCACGCAAGGTCAACTGTTGAGGACGGCTCGAGCATCATTCATTCTCATTGATTCATTCATTCAATCATGTTTCATTTAGATGCGCACGTCCATCAGAGGACTGCAATGCCAGATTCATGCGCCTCTGCGCGAGGATCAATAAAATCAAGATCAGTGTGACAAAGTGATCATGTAAAAGAAGAGAGAGAAAATTATTGTTCATGGTGGATTTTAGTGTTTTGTAAGATGCCGATTTTTACAATAAACTAATATGATATCGCCATAGAACTAACTCTCCCTGTACAGTACGTACACTGTTGCAGTACGCAACATTGATGAACAATAATTTTTGCGTAATTTGCATTATAATTTGGCGATAATCTTTGCCTTGCTATGGTGTTGCAGTTCGCAATGCCTTCAATAGAGGTAAGATTTTAATTGATTATTGTTCATGCTGAACCAACGGAAACAGTTTTAATTAACGTAAAGTTGATGTAGTAAAAGTGAGTTGCATCATCCGATGGACATGGATACTTCAAGGAGGCCGGTTCCGGCACCGAGACGATCGTTGAGCGCAAGACCGACGCCGACGCCTATGCCGAGATCTAGCAGCTGGCTCACGGTGTCAGCTGCCGATTCGTCATCGTCTCTTCGTAGAAGCTATGAAGAAGAGGAGAAACGACTCGAGCTCCTAGTACAGGAAAGTCAGCTCTCTCTTAAGCGACTGCGGGAGAAGAAGGCCGCGGAATTTGTACATGACATCAATGACAATCATGATTTGTCGATCGCTGGTCCTGATCTATCCCAAATAGAGGACGATGCAAGAAGTCCTCGGCATTCACCGTATGAACGAATGGAATATGGTGACAATGCAAGTTTGCGAATGGGCTCCGGCACCCAGTGCATCTTTCTCAAGGAGACGCCGAAACTCGCATTTACTGTGTTCTGTGGACAGCCGGAAAGGTATCCCTTTTTCCAGCGCCAAGTTGAAGAGGCGAGGAGCAGTGGAAACTTCACGGATCTTCAGATTCTACAGCATCTCCAGGACAAGCTGAAGGGCCCTGCCTTCGATGCCGTTCATGGCACACTCCTCTCAGGCGGCTCCCTGAATGACGTTCTCGAGACGCTGGAGGTCAGATTTGGTAACCGGTTCATCATAACCCAGTCAGTGACAGAGAAGCTCCTGAGCGGGCCGAAAATTCGGAACGGAGACGTGGAAAGTCTGAGTGTGTTTTGCAGCGAAGTCCACAACACTATGTCTGTGCTGCAGGCCATTGGATACCAGGCAGAACTGGATAACTATCGGGCCATATCGTCACTGGCCGAGAAGCTCCCTCCGGAGAGTCAGCTCGCCTGGGGTGGCTATGCCAGGGCGAGAATGGAGTCCGGGAGCCAGCTGACCTGCCAGGTCTTCTATGATTTCCTCTGCAGTCACGTGAGGGACCGGCAGTTCAGTGTTCCCAGAACCAGCAGTGGCGCTACAAAAACCAAACGTCATCCGATATTCGCCACGTCTGATTCCGTAGAGAAGGTGCGCCGGGAAGCCGGTCGGGGAAAACCAAAGGCGCGGAAGGTAGAATGCTACTTCTGCTCTGAAGACCACTGGATCGCAAGTTGTGACCAGTTTAAGCAACTCTCTGTAGCTGACAGGCGTGCCTGGGTGAAAAGGACGAAAGCTTGCGTTTGGTGCCTCAGTACGGGTCACCAGACATCAGCGTGCCGTCGCCAGCGGCCATGCGGCAAGGCTGGTTGCTCAGAGGAGCACCATGTCCTCCTTCACGATGACGTCACAAGACCGGACACCAGCGGAGTTATGTCAGCAGCCTCGCAGCCGTGCCTCGTGCTGATGAAAACTGTGCCGGTCGAACTGAGCGGGCCGGCCGGTAAGAAGCTCTGTCTCGCTTACTTGGACGAAGGGAGCTCTCTTACGCTAATCTCCCAGAAGGTGGCTGAAGAACTTGGACTGCACCAGCGTCCACGCAATCTCACGATGAAGACTTTGACGGGCGTCACGAAGCTTAAGTCGTCACTCATTGACGTGAATATCTCGAACGTAACGACGGGAGATACCTACTCGCTGACAGATGTCTACACGATGACGTCGTTACCTCTCGAAAAGGAAGCGCTCGGAACGGCAAAACTTCGAGAGAGGTACGCTGAAGTGAAAGATCTTCCACACGTTGGCGAAGAACCACAACTCCTGATCGGGATCGACCACGCGGAGCTGATTGCTTCACAGTCACTTCGGCGTCCTTCCAAGAACGGTCCTATTCTGCAGAAGACTAGGCTGGGATGGACACTCACAGGGCGCGTGCTAGACACCGAAGACTCCAGAGCCGCGTGGCAGGTTCATCGGATCGCTCAGGAGAGTCCTTCCCTGGAGAGCTTGGTCAAAGCTAACTGGGAGACAGAAACATTCGGCTGCAAGTATCAGTACGATACCCCTCGCAGCCCAGAGAATCGAAAATCTGAAGAGATTCTCAAATCCCAAGTCTACCACAACGGGGAGCGTTGGGTAGCACCCCTGCTGAGAAGGGATCGAGGTGAAAAGTTTCCTCCGAGCCGTCAAATGGCTGAAAAGAGAGCGTTGGCATTCGAGAGACGCCTGGACAGAGACAAGCTCTCTGGAGACAACCCCACCGGCTTGGCAGATCTGACAGAGGCGAAACTGCAGAAGATGCTGCGTAACGGTCACTTCCGTAAACTGACTGTGGAGGAGGCGTCACGAGAGCCAGACAACACCTGGTACTTACCTCTCATGGCCGTTAGGAACCAGAACAAGCCGAAAAAAGTGCGTCTGGTTCTAGACGCCGCAGCAAAAAGCCACGGAATGAGCTTAAACGATGCATTGATGCAAGGACCTGACCTGATGAACTCGCTGAGTGGCATCCTGCAGCGTTGGCGGGAGAAGGCAGTCGCTGTCACATCGGACGTGGTGGCTATGTTTAGCCAGGTCAGCATGGACGTAAAAGACCGCCCAAGCCTACGTTTCCTATGGCGTGGCTCACGACGCACCGGCGAGTTTGATGTTTATGAGTCCCCAGTGCTCATATTCGGTGCAACATGTTCACCCAGCGTGGCCAACTACTGCTTCAGGCGAACAGTAGAAGACTTTGGAGATGGCGACTCTGTGGTGGCAAGAGCAGCAATGGAAGACACGTATGTTGACGACGTGATCACTGGGACGGACAATGAAGAGGAAGCAGCTACGCTCATCAACAAGCTGACAACAGTCCTCAGTCGGGGAGGCTTTGAGCTGGGTCCTTGGGCTTCCAATTCACACGCAGTTCTCAGCCAACTCCAGCCTGAGCAACGGAGTGATGAGGACATCACGCTCAATGATGAAGAATGTCACCGAGCTCTAGGCGTCGTCTGGAAACCTGGACAGGACATTCTTACATATCGAGCTCATGAGCCGCCAGAATCCCCAACGAAGCGCCTCATTCTGAAGACCGTCATGTCTGTGTATGACCCGATCGGTTTCTTGGCTGGCTGGCATCTTCGAGGTCGGCTGGTGCTTCAACAACTCTGGGATTACAAGCTCGACTGGGATGATGGTATCCCATCTGACATCAACGCAGAGTGGCAGAGGTGGACCCAAGAACTGCGAAGAATCTGTGATGTACAGCTACCCAGGCATGTCTTTCAGGGGCATCTGATCAAGGAGGTGGACTTGCACGGATTTTGCGACGCTAGTGAGAGAGGATTCGCCGCAGTCCTCTTCTACCGGTGGGAAGTAGATGGCGAAGTCCACGTCAGCTTTGTGGGAGCTCGAGCAAAGCTAGCCCCCACCAAAAGACTTTCTATCCCCAGGTTGGAGCTTCAAGCTGCGGTGCTGCTCACTAGAATGATCTCCTGCGTGAAGAAAGAGGCACGAGTGGTGATCAAATCTACTCTGTGCTGGTCAGCAGAGCTGGGCGCGTTCCTCGATTTTCGGTAGTGCGTTAGCGTTCCTGCGTTCCTCCGGCCGCGGTTAGTGCGTTCCTGGAATAGCGTTCCTCATTTTTTTTTCGCTCGGTGCGTTAGCGTTCCTGCGTTCCTGCGTCCCAAACTGTTAAAGGGATTATCAGGGTTTAAAAATTGAAAGGAATCGGCATAAATTTCCAATCAATGAACTCCCCAGACTCTGCCGATTCTAAATATATGCATAAAATGTAAATCGGTACCAAAATTTGCGAGATATAGCCGTTTCAAAATTGACAAA